GGTTGTTGCTGGACAAGAGAATGCCGATTTTGGGAGGTGCAACCTGTAATTTGGGAGGTGAGCAGCAACCTGGGGGGAGCCAGGCTGAAGTAGCGGGACAGGTCAGGGGCTGGGCAGCAGCATCCAGCAGCCTGCAGCAGTGGGGCTAGAACTGGCAGCAGCCCCTGACAGCCTGCAGCACTGGGACTGGGTTGGGACTGGGCCAACAGCCCATGGCAGCGCAGGGACAGGGCCAGAGCCATGGGCAGCCTGTGAAAGTGGTATCAGAGCTTATGGGCTGCCGTATGACAGTGGGACCGGGGTCACGGCTGGCGACAGCCCCAGTAACACAGAGCAGGGTGGGGCTGGAGCCCTAGACAGCCTGTGAAAGTGGGGCCAGAGCCTGCAGGCTGCAGCGGGGCTGCGACTGGAGTCTAAGCACTCGGTAGCCCCTACCACAACCCAGTAGGGAGCCTGGCAGGGCCTGGAGGTAGTCCCCCTACCTCCCTTACTCATCCTCCCCACTCATCCTCCCCACTTGTCCCCCCTTCCTCCTTGGCAGAGTCAGCAGCTGAGGGTTGTGGCAGAGAACCTTATCTAGTCTGGCAAATTCCCTGGCTCAGGACTGGTCTGGTCCCCAGGGTGACAGATAAGAGATGTCCAACCAAAATACTGTATATTCATGTGTTATCCAATGAAATGTGGCCAAACCATACTGAAAGTACAAGCACAGATCTTATGTTTATTACCTAGGACTTGGGGCCTATAACTATTCCAGAACTTAAAGCCATTAATAACTAGTGGCGGTGCTATCTGCTAATCGGACAACCTAAATAATACAAGACTAAAACTGAGATTACACAAGAATTCTTTGGGATTTTTTAGTTTAACTTTATTGAAGTTCATTTTAGGACATCTAATTGATGTTCACATACTACAAAACAAACATTTTGGTCTTTTGTAAAGGGTGATCATTCTAAAATTATTGATCTCTAGATGTAGTACTAACAGTTTTCTTGTGCACAGTGGTATGTTCTTAGTTACAGTGTATAATCACTAGCAATTGTGAAATCAATAAAACAACAAGAAATGGGCGACAAGGAAGAGGTTCATACATCTTGGAATTTCATAATAGTGGACAAATATTGTTTTTAATTCACTTTTTCTATTGCAAAGTAGTTTGTGTTGTTTCTACTGTAAGATGAGTTTATCCTGTAGGCATTTTTAGTACACTCAGCACTGTGGTATCCAGAGACCTATCAAGAACTGCTGGTAGATTACAACTTACAATGATAAATAAAATACAGATTTTTAATGTTACTCTGGTATTTCTTCCCCCTCCCCCCCCCCCCCCCCCTCTTCCCCCCAGATTGAAAGGAAAGTCTCAGGATGACAGTATGATACAGTAAACTAATTAGTGCATTAGGACTCAAGACTCTAATAGTCTAATTCTTGCTGAGGTCTCAATCTAGGCACTATTTGGGCACACAATTTTGGTGCACCAAATCCTAGCTGGGCAGGTGTTGGCATGCATATATATAAAAGACACCAAGATTCAAATATCAAGACAGAGTTCTACCTCCAGTTAGGCACTGTGTGGCCCTATATTTCCCCACCTGGAAATGACATTATAATTACAGGTCTCGGGTGTTGTGAGGATTAGATATGCATATGGTATTTTACTTTTTCAAAGTACTAAGTACAACATATATTATATTTGCTGTGGGGTATTCATTTTTGTGGATCATCATTAACCATATGATTTCTAAAATTTCCACAACCTTAACTTTTTCCACAGGATAAGGGCAAACTATAAGCCACATTTCAAAAGGCACCATAGGGAGAAAAAAAAATACCTACCAACAACACACCAGCGTTTTTTTTTTTTCCAAACACAAAAATACTTCCTCCTACTCAGTTCCTCAAAACAGAAAAATTGTTTGAAAGGATGGAATTAAATGTTTAATAGGAAGAGGAATGTGTATATTTTGACAAGATATTTCATAGAAATATTAAATTGGAAGGGACCTCAATAAATCATCTAGTTCAGTCCCCTGCACTTGGGCAGAACTAGCTAGATCAGGCACTCAAACTTTTTTCATCATGCCTAGAGATGTGAAACCGGTTAACTGGCTATCCACTAAGCATCACCTTTAATGAGGCTTACTGGGTAACATGTTTAACCTTTTCCTGGGAACTGCCTCCCACCCACCCCGGATGGAGGGCTGCTCCAGCACACATGGGCTGGGATCCTGCAGCCCAGAGAGGGGCTGGAAGCATGGGGCTGGAGCAGCCCTTGACTATAGCACAGGGACTCCCTCCCTGCACATGTTTAACCAGTTAAACTGGTTAACAATTAAATAATTAAACAGGATTTTACATTCTAAATCATGCCCCCCATTCTTTATGTCTGTAGTAATTTAAGCTCTCTCACCACACAAGTACATATACTGATAAAAAACACAATCTACATTTAACTCTCACTAAATGTTATAAACAAGAGGGCACTGATTCAAACAGAGTCATTTAAGTACATAGCAATATTTAAGTGAGATATTGCTTACAAGCATTGCCAACTTTACTTCACTGTTGTAGCAGTGGTGCTGCCATTAGAGCTGAGTGGCTCAGCTCTGAAGGCAGTGCTGCGGCCAGCAATAGCACAGAAGAAAAGGCTTCATAGTTATGAACAACAGATTTACAAATTGACAGTTCACCACACATCTCATTTGGAATGGGAGGTACACAGGCAGCAGCAGAGACACACACACAAAAAGCAAATACTGTACAGTATTGTGTGAAATGTAAATTACTAAGAAGGGAGGAAAGCAGCATAAGAACATAAGAACCACCTTATTTGGTCAGACTAAAGGGTCATCAAGCCCAGTATCTTGTCTCCAATAGTAACCAATGCCAAGTGCCTTACAGGGAATGAAAGACCAAGAAATCATCACATGATCTATCCCATTCCCAGATTCTGGCAAACAGGTTAGGGACACCATCTCTGCCCATCATGGCTAACAGCCACTGATGGACCTATCCTTCATGAATGTATCTAATTCTTTTATGAATCCTGTTAGCGTCTTGGCCTTCACCACATCCTCTGGCAAAGAGTACCAGTGGTTGACTGTGTAGTTTTTCTGCACAGTACAGTTTCAAAGTTCTATTAAGTAAATGTTTAGTTGTAACCTTTGAAAGAACCATAAGGTTTTATTCAGAGTTATGAACATTTTAGAGTGGTGAACAATCTCCATTCCTAAGGCATTCGTAATGCTGATTTTCTACTTTATTTAATGCTGTGGGTAAATTTCAGTAGAAAGTTTCTCTCCCCTAATAGCTTCTCATGCCTCTCAATATATTCCATATATTCCCTCCCCCTCCAGTTTGAGAGCATCTGATATAGGTTATCTTGTTTATAGAAAGGGAAACAGTAAATAATTTTAAAGACTGATTAAAGCTAAAGTACCTTTTACAGATTTCTGGTGACTCAAGGTGAAAGTCAAAGATACCATGATACCTTGCAAACAGTGTTCTTGGAAAACATTACTTTTCAATAAAACTGTTTATAGTCTCCAAAAATACACTTCAGTGGATGCAGGCTAACTATCACTATTTAGTAAATGATGCTGTAAAGCTCAGAACTACTGGTTATCATATATATGAAAGGTGCTATACAAGTCTAAGTTCACATCTATATAGTTATCTTTTCTTCTGACTGATCTTTTTCTTTCAGCAGTAATTAATCTGCTAAAGAGCTAAAAACACATAGATTATAATGATGCCAATGTTTGTTAAGTTAATTTTTCTGCAAGTCAGCATATGTAAATCCTACCAAGTTCAATGGGGGTCTGCCCATGTACAACAACTTGACTTAAACAGAGACTTCACAGGGATGGAGGGATTCAGTTGAATCGAACAACTTGCAAGATAAGGGCCTTAATGAGCCGTTAATATATCTCCATTGAACCTTTCTGGAAAACAGATTGCTCTAGAGAATCTACCTCCACATAAAAACCAAACTGAGCCACAAATACTTTTATCAGAACTACTTCTTAATCAACTGCATACCAGTTTCAAAGAATTTAAGTCAGCTCTTCCACAGCCAATCTTTCACTGAAACACTCAAGTAGGAAACTTCCCCCCCCCCAAACTAAGTACAACATAAATGGACAATTACGTCACAAGTAATCAATACCAAATGCAATAAAGGGTCACATATGTACTGATGTTAATTTAACAGCCACTGGATTGTACCATCACTTACATTAGTTCAATATATCTAAAAGGAGTCTTTTATGCTTATGATAATGTAGACATAAAAAATTGGGATATGATCATCAGATAGATACCATAGTAATGGGTGTATAATAAGTACATTGAATCGGATGGGTGGAAGAGAGAACAGAGACTTACAAAAATAGACACAGACAAAATGGAAGCATTACAATATAGTTTAAAAATTCTCCATTTGACAGTGATAAAGTTGGGTGGTTATGATCAGTGAGTTAATCAGAACATATAGAAGTCCCACAAAGTCTGGATTAAATTTAGACTGTTTAAGTAAAAATTCACCTATACACTATGATTCTTGCTTCGTGTTTGGAATATCTAAGCTCCCTGGCAGCTCAGGTTAACAGCCTTGCATCTAGCCATACATGTTTTCTATGCACATTATTGCAGTATTTAGACACTTCCGAGAGGGAGAATAGCACAGAATTTACTATACAACGCTCAGCTCTACGTGCCTGTGAGTAGTCTCACGGCCTCTCTCATAAGGTTGGGGTTTTGCTTCGGTGTCTATGAGCAGAATCTTCACTATCACCCCCACACCTTTGTGCCAACTGACTACCACTCTCGCCCCTCCTTTCTCCCCACTTCCCCGCAGCTGGCTGCCTGCCAGGACCACAACACCTATCTAGTTTGTAAGCGTCTTTCGGGTCCCTTAGGGTGAAAGCTGCCCTACGAGTCCCAGGGAGCTGTGCAGAGGGAGGAAAGGGGAGTCTCTGAGCACGAGGTTCGCTCACCTCTTCCACCTCTATCTCCTTGTAGTCAATTTCTTCGAAGTTGAGGACCGGGGGAGTTTCGATCATTTCAGCGGAGGCGGCAGCAGACATCCCTTCTTGTAAGCGTCTTTCGGGTCCCTTAGGGTGAAAGCTGCCCTACGAGTCCCAGGGAGCTGTGCAGAGGGAGGAAAGGGGAGTCTCTGAGCACGAGGTTCGCTCACCTCTTCCACCTCTATCTCCTTGTAGTCAATTTCTTCGAAGTTGAGGACCGGGGGAGTTTCGATCATTTCAGCGGAGGCGGCAGCAGACATCCCTTCGCTGTCAACTAGGGCAGG